ATTTACTCAATAAATATAAAAATTTAATAAAATAACGTAATAATAATTTAATCTCATTAATTATTATAAATTTATTATAAATTATTTAATTAATTATAACTTCCTGATTAATATAAATTAAAATAATAATATCTATTTATTAATAAATATTAGAATAATAAGATGCAACGAAAAATTCTCAATCTTCCGTTTGCCTCTTCTCTCTCTTTCTCTCAAGTTTCTCTCATTACTCACTTGCTTTCTCCCATAACCAAACGTAGGCCTTTTGCTTCTCCTCTTTGATTGCTGGAGAATATTATTCTTTCTCCTCCTTGAAATGAATTACAGTGAAGGCTTAGAAGTCCAGGGGTGCAGTTCAAGGCTATAATAAGTTTCGAAAGGTAAACATATACGTTGTTCTAAGTTTGACAATTGGAAGGACTTTTGAGTTAAAGCATGCTGTGATGTATTTTGTTGTCATGAATTGTGTTTAAAGATTGCGAGGTTGTGAAGGAAACATTGATCAGACAAAGGACAGTAAGATTTCCCACGGAATTTACCAAGGGTAAGTTAGTACCTTATAAATGCTAGTTTGTGATGTAGTAGTGTTTTGGGTTTGAGATACATATGGTGCTAGTTTGTGATGTAGCTACAACGAGCGTTTTAGACGTGATTAATCGACTAAGTTGCACAAGTCTCCATTCATATAATGATTATGTTTTAAGTGATTTTAAGTTTGTGATACAGAACACTCTACTTACTGAGCTTGTGTTTTTTTTTTGTTTTTTGTTTTTAAATGCTTACTGACGTATTGAAGTGCATATATGCATTTAAAATAACTTGTGTTGTAGATAAAAGGAAAGACAAAGCAAACAAGTGAGTGGGCAACTTCACCGACGTCCGACGGATTGTATTCATGGGCTCTACATTTGGTAAAGTAGAAATTTTTTTTGGATAATTTACCATTTTCTATTTTTTAATGAAGTTTTGGATTTAGTTGTGCATGTTTACAATTTTATATAAAGTACTTAAATTTTTAGAGACAGAAGCATCATCTGCATGATAATGTTTAATTTGGGGTTTGCAATAGCAAAAGTAGTTTAAATCTTCTCGTATTTTTTTTAATACACGATTTGGAAAATAATCGTAACACTGTAGAACTTATGGTAAATTAAAACCTCAATTTTGAAATTTAACATAGGGTGGAAAAGTGTTAAATAAGTGCCTACCAAGAATTGATCATCAAAGAGACTCTTGTCCGTATTTTTATTTATTTACTTTTTGAATTTCTAATAGTAGAAAGCATTTAAGCTTATGCCGGATTGACTTGTATTTGTTTCCTAATTCAATCAGTAATATTGGAATACTTTTCTGCCGTAGCAGGCATCAAGTTTATCATGTTTTTCTTTGCACAAGTCTTGCAAGCCTCGTGGGTTTTGTCCATATCAGCTGGAGGACATGATCATAGGGATGAACTCGCCTTACTTGCTTTCAAGGAAGGAATAGAGGAGGATCCCCTTAATATGCTAACTTCTTGGAATGAATCTCATGATGATTTTTGTAAGTGGCAAGGCGTCACTTGTGGCCGCCGGCACCGGAGAGTTACCGCATTGGACCTCTCATCGTGCCAACTCAAGGGTCAGCTTTCTTCTCACGTCGGGAATTTGAGTTTTCTTACAAGACTAGAGCTCCAAAACAATAGCTTTAGCCACATTATTCCCCCGCAAATTTCCAAACTATTCCGGCTAAAAATCTTGTCCCTTGGAAACAACTCCTTTAGCGGAAAGATTCCAACCAACATTTCTTGTTTTTCCAATCTCCAATATTTAGACTTATCTTTCAACAACCTCACTGGTAAAATTCCCCCAGACATGGGCTTGTTATTCAAGCTTCGTGTACTTGTTTTGAGAAACAATAATTTACTTGGGGAAATACCAACTTGTCTCGGAAATCTTTCTGCTCTCATGAGGATCCAACTAGGACATAATAGCTTCCATGGCAAAATTCCACACAGCTTTGGCCAATTGAAAAGTTTAGTGCTTCTTGCGGTTGGTCCAAACAACCTAACAGGCGACATCCCTCTCTCGATTTACAATCTCTCTTCGCTCGAATCTTTCGGTGTTCATGGAAACCAACTTGAAGGAACTCTTCCTCCTGACTTTGGCAATGCTCTTCCAAACCTCAAACAGGTTTTATTCCATACAAACCACTTCAGCGGACCGATTCCTGTAACAATCTCCAATTGCTCAAAACTTACAAGGTTTGATATGTCAGCTAATTCTTTTACTGGACAAGTACCGAGCCTCACAACCCTATCTCAATTGCAAGAATTTGGAATTGGTGAGAATGAACTGGGCCATGGTAAGAGTGGTGACCTCGAGTTTCTCTCTTCACTTGCCAACTGCACAAATCTACTACGTCTTGGCATTAACACAAACAATTTTGGAGGACAATTGCCTGAATCTATAAGCAATTTGTCAACAAAGCTCACGTTGATGACATTCGGAGATAATCAAATAAGCGGAAGAATTCCAAAGGGCATTTCAAATCTTGTTAGCTTAGAGTTATTAGGTTTGGAACAAAACCTATTGACTGGGGTTATTCCGAGCTCAATAGGTAAACTACAAAACCTGTATTGGCTTACCTTAGGATGGAACAGAATATCTGGTCCTATTCCTTCTTCCCTAGGAAACTCAACATCACTAGGGTTGTTATACTTGTTATTTAACGACATAGAAGGAAGCATACCGTCAAGTATTGGGCAGTGTACGCAGTTGATTGAACTTCATCTCATGGAAAACAATCTAAGCGGTCCCATACCGAAAGAGCTATTTGGTTTATCATCTTTAACCTTAATAGTTTTATCTAAAAACCATTTTACCGGTTCTATCCCCATGGAAGTCGGAAAATTGGTACACGTTTTTGTTTTAGATATTTCGGAAAGCAAGTTAGTTGGTGAAATTCCTGAAACTCTCGGTGGATGCACAGTCTTGCAGTATTTGTATTTGCAGGGAAACTCATTGCAAGGGACCATTCCCCATTCCTTTAGTTATTTGAGAGGGCTGGATGAAATCGACCTTTCTCACAACAACTTGTCTGGAAAAATTCCAACATATTTTGGAGGCTTTCGATTCTTAAAGAAATTGAATTTATCGTTTAATAATCTAGAAGGCCAGGTACCTGTCGAGGGATCAATATTCAAAAATTTAAGTGGTTTTTCCGTTGTGGGAAATTATAGGCTTTGTGGAGGTGTCCTTGAATTGCACTTACCGAGATGCCCCGCAGATGGACCTAAGAAGCATAAGCGATCACCTCCACAAAAGTTAATCATCTCCACTATTGCTTGCGGACTTGGATTGATTTTTCTGATGTTCACACTACTATCTCTGTATTTATCAAGGAAACGGAAAACTATGTCAACATCAGCACAATCAAATACAATGTCATTCTTACAGCTATCTTATGGTGATCTTGTCAAAGCGACCAATGATTTTTCTCCAGCAAACTTAATTGGTGCTGGGAGTTTTGGATCTGTGTACAAGGGAATTCTAAATCCAGATGAAACAGTTGTTGCCGTGAAAGTACTAAACCTACAAACTTCAAGAGCATCAAAAAGCTTTATAGCTGAATGTAAAGCTTTAAGGAACATCAGACATCGGAATCTTGTCAAAGTTTTAACCGCGTGTTCAAGTACTGACTTTCAAGGAAATGATTTTAAAGCTCTGGTATATGAATACATGGTCAATGGAAGTCTAGAAGAATGGTTGCATGATGAGGAGAGACATCTAAGCCTTATTCAAAGAGTAAATGTTGCCATTGATGCGGCCAGTGCTTTGGATTATCTACATAATTTTTGCGACACGGCAATTGTTCATTGTGACTTGAAACCGAGTAATGTACTCTTGGACAAGGACCTTACTGCTCATGTCGGAGATTTTGGATTGGTGAGGTTTATCTCTGATCTTTCACGCCCATTTTCTTCAAATCACAGCAGCTCCGTAGATGTACGAGGTTCCATTGGATACGCAGCCCCAGGTGAATATTGAATTAGCTGAAATTTTCTTGTTACATGCTTTTCATTTTATGTTGATTATTAGATAACTACTTCTTACATGTATCATTTAAAATATGGCATGTCAAACAAAAAATTTTACGTTTTAGTTTATGCATTTGGATACTGTTATGAGTTTATTTTAACACAAGTAGGCAAGAATATTATACATATATATATATATATATATGTAAGTATGTTTGTATGTAAATGTAGGTTTCTTCAGTTGAACCTAAGAAATATATATTATCCATGTGAGTGCAGAGTATGGCATAGGAAGTGAAGTGTCGACAAGTGGCGATGTATATAGCTATGGAATTCTTTTGTTGGAGATGTTTACAGGCAAGAGACCTACTGATGGAATGTTTAAAGAAGATTTGAACTTGCATAACTTTGCTTTGATGGCTTTGCCTGAACATCTGGAAGAAATATTGGATCCAAGGCTCTTAGAAACAGAAGATGAGAGGAGCAAAAACAGTCTTTCCTATAACAATCAAATTCAAAATCAAATGATTCGCAAATGCTTGATATCCGTTATTGAGGTAGGAGTTGCATGTTCTGCAGAATTACCGGGAGACAGAATGAGCATTGATAATGCTGTTTCAGAACTATCTCACATAAGGGGTATGCTTTTGAAAATCAGGATGCAAACAAACGATCATATCATCAACACAATTTAAGCGGTATGTATCATCGTAGCATATTATTATAAAATATATGTTTTCAAAACTTATGCTTCTAAATTTTTTGTGATATAACGCTTTTGTTAGATATTTTCCTTTGAAATTTGATCCTTAAGTTAAAAAAAAAAAGAGTAAATTAACTCTAATAATTAACAAGAATTAGTTTTCAGATGGTATAATAATAATTTTATTGCAACTACATCCTTTGAGCTTCATTACATTTGATACTTTAGCCCATTTCTCTAATTCGTTGTCTTCACACAACATTCCACAGACCAGCTACTATAATCACAACTCCTCGAAATCATTGCATGGTCTTTCTGCATAACAACTTCAACAGCTTGCTCATGCTGTATCTATGATGACTCCAAACCATGCTTCTGGTAATAGCAATGCTTATGCAAATGCTGCAGGTCTATTCACTTTTTCCAATGCTTCAATCAATTCTGTATTCACTAGACCTTGGATATTTTGGATAGTGGAGCTACTGACCACATAGTTTCCGACTTCAGACTCCTCACTCAAACAGAACCATCATCAATACCCATTGCTAATTTACCCACTGGATCTTCTGCCCCAATCACTTCAACAGGCACCATACCATTCAATTCAGACATAACCTTAGACAATGTTTTATATGTCCCCTCCTTTCACTTAAATTTGATGTCTGTTAGCAAAATCACCACTGCTCTAAACTAGTGTCATTTTGTTTCCCACTTTTTGTGTCTTGCAGGACTTGGCTACGAGGAAAATGATTGGCTTGGGTAAACAACGCGGTGGTCTTTATTACATGTCTCTGTTACAAATGACACCTATTTCTCACACTCCAGATCTATGGCATATGCGTCTTGGACATCCATCACCATCCCGTCTTAAATTGGTTTCTTTATTGCTATCTTCTAATAATACCTCATATGATTATAATTGTACTGTTTGTCCCATGGCTAAACAAACACGACTTCTATTTCCTTTAAGTTTCGTATGCTCCATTTAATTTGTTATATTGTGATATTGGCGGTCCACATAAAGCTCCCACACATTTAGGGGCACGTTTCTTTCTTACTATTGTGGATGATTTTACAAGATGCACATGGATATTTCTTATGCAGCATAATCTGAAACACAAAACATTTTGAAACTTTTATTGATTTTGCTTTTATTCAATTCCATGCCCATGTTAAGGCGGTTAGAGTAGACAATGGTCGGAATTCCTATCCATGAGAAATTTATTTTGGTTTCACGGTATTGAATATCAACGTACTTGTGTATTACACTCCACAACAAAATAGAGTTGTTGAACGAAAACATCGACAATATTCTCAACATAGCACGTGCATTGGTTTTTTCAATCTCACTTACCACTCAATTTCTAGGAGTTTTGACTGCTGTCTACCTTATTAATCGACTACCCTCACAATTGTGGTCCAATAAATCTCCTTTTGAGTTGTTATACAACCGCCTACCATCACTTAATCACTTGAAAGTTTTTATTTTTCTTTATTATGCAACTGACGTTCATCTTATTAAAAAATTTGACCCTCATGCCAAACGTTACTAGCATGTTTGGTTTCAATCTCAAAAATGTTTTTCATGTTTTTTGAGGTACAAAAATTGAAAATAATTTTAAAAACACGTTTGGACTGTGTTTTCTTAAAAATTAAAATTGAAAATGTTTTTGACCCTTTTCATATTTTGTATACATTTCTAAAAACGGTTTATACTCAATTTTCATTTTCTTCTACTCTATTTTCCTTCTTTCCTTGTTGTTCCTCCTTCTCCGCCGCACCATGGTCTACGTCCGCCAAAAGGAAGATCCTTGGAACTCAATCATCGCCGGCGCCGCCACCGGCGGCTTCCTCCATATGCGCCCGGGGTTCGCCGCCTCAGGTGGGGATGGGCTTCACATGGCGAAGATGGTGAGGATATGTGGGTCGAGTGAGGAAGGCTTGCCAGCGGCTGGGAGGGGTGGCTATGAGGGAAGATTAATCGTCCTCAAGCTTTTCGACGTCGTCTTCAGTTCCAACTCTGACGAAAGTTTAGTCGTCATCGGCGAGGAAATCAATGAGGGATTTCAGTATTACCAGTTTTTTAACCGTTGGATTTATTCAAAATTAAATTAGATTGAAAAAAATATATAAAATAGATATTTTCTTATGTAAATCTGATAGTTAAAAAAAATACTTATAGTTTTATTTTAATCCAACTCAAGAAACTAAAAAAAAATAGAAAAGAAAACCAGTCTTGTTCTCTCTTTTTTTTTCCGCAAGTCTTTTTCTTTCAGGGCACTTGTATAAATAGACTAAGTAAAATGTGTTTTTAAGTAAATAAACCAAAAAATAAATAAATTAGGTAAATAACCCAACTTCCACATTAGCATTCCATGTCATCAATTATGCTTTTAGGGTTTTCTTTCTCTTCCTCCTCTTCCATTTCGCGCCATTTTCTTCTCCCAGCCGCCTTCAAGTTCTCTTCTCTTCTTCTCAAGTCATCGTCGTCGCATAACCTCATTAACATTATTATCTTGCCCATTCAACTTTTTTTTCTCGTCCAAAATGAAGTTTGAAGAAGAGCTACTAAGTAAGTCTTTCATTTTCTATATCTCTCATGGTGTTTTTCGTTGTTGTTCATTTGTTTTTAAAATGAGAATGTAGTTAAAAATATTAAAAATCCATTAAAATAGTAATTTTACATGTTAAAAGACTAGTTTACATTGTCTGATATGATGAAGATCTGCTGAGTTTAGAAAAAAGAAGGTTTGTTCATGGTCGGTTCGTGGTCTGTTCTTGGTCTGTTCTTATACATGGTCGGTTCTTGGTCTGTTCTTGGTCTGTTCTTATAACATGGTTGGTTCATAGTCTGTTCTTGGTTTGTTCTTATAACAAGGTCGGTTCGTAGTCTGTTCTTGGTTTGTTCTTATAACAAGGTCGGTTCGTAGTCTGTTCTTGGTGTGTTCTTATAACATGGTCGGTTCATGGTCTGTTCTTATTGCACGGTCAGTTCTTAGTCTGTTCAAGTTCTATTCTTATTGGACGGTCAGTTTTTAGTCTATTCTTATTGCACAGTCGGTTCTTAGTCTATTGTTGGTCTGTTCTTGGGTTGTTCTTATTATATGGTATGTGCATAGTCTGTTCTCATTATATGGTATGTTCTTAGTCTGTTCGTGGGATGTTTGGTTTGGTTTAAAGACATATTATTATCTTGATTAAATTTTTACAGTTTTAAAATCTAAATAATGGCTCAGAGGATTTTTTTTGACATTGGAGGAAAATAGGATGAGACTAAAAGTTGTTGGGTGTGGCATACAGATTGTAATTTAATTGGCATATATATGGATGAGAAGGATACTCTCGAAACCTTTGTTGATAAGATTTGTAGAAAATGTAGAATTAATGGACAAAAACATTTTTTGCAGCTATCGTGGGTACCGAATTTGAAACAGAAATCATTGTCCGTTGTAATAAAAGACAATGATGATTTGTTATTCTTCAGGGATATAGCCCATGAGGTATCACTACACGTGATAGTGGATGGAAAGTTTATGAATCCAGAAGAACATATTGATGGAGTCAAAATTAAGAGAAATTCTTTGCATGATGATTTTTTTGATTGTGATTTTATGGGTAATGTAGCTACAGATGAGTTTTTGACTCGTAATGATATTCCACCACAGTCACAACCACAACCAGAGTCACAGCCACAGCTAGAGCCACAACCACTTACCATTTTAGATGAAGTAGAAGTTGCTGGTCCTTTAGTTTGTATCGACAAGATTGAGTTTGGATCATCTCATGGATCTACCTTCAGTGACAGATCTAGTTTAGAAGTTGCTCAGTACTTTACAAGTAAGAATGATTTGAAGGAAAAGCTGCATTTAATAGCTTTGAAGGGGAAGTTTGAGTTTCGAACAACAAAATCAAATAAAGACGTGCTTGTAGTAGAATGTGTGGATCTGAAATGTGTGTGGCGTATCCGAGCCTGCAAACTGAGACTGTCGAACATGTTTGTAATCCGTAAGTATAATGGTGTTCACTCTTGCTCGTTAGAAAAGCGTTCAGTGAAGCACAGGCAAGCAACGTACTCCGTTATTGGAAGTTGCATGAAAAACCAATTTATAGGCATCAAACAGGGTCCAGTTCCCAAATCGATTCAGAAATATGCCCATGACGAATTCGGGACGGACTTCAGTTATTACAAAGGATGGAAGACTCGTGAGCATGCACTTCAACTCGTAAGAGGTACGGCCGAAGAAAGCTTCACTAAGCTCCCATCATACTTTCATATGGTGTCTCTTACTAATCACGACAGCATCACCAATATTCATTTTGATGAACATAACCGTTTTATCTATCTTTTCCTAGCATATGGACCTTGTATACGAGGTTTTGATTGCATGAGGAAAGTTATCAGTGTTGATGGAACGTGGTTGAAGGGAAAATTCAGAGGTACGTTGTTAGTTGCCACTGCACAGGATAGTGAACGTCATTATTATCCCATTGCATGGGCCATTGTAGACTCAGAGAATGATGCATCATGGACATGGTTCTTCTCAAACTTGAAGGAAATTATCACTGATTCTGAGGAATTAGTTTTTATTTCTGATAGGAATCAAAGTATAAGTAATGCATTGTCTACAGTTTATACATTAGCACATCACGGTTGTTGCACATGGCATGTGTCTCAAAACATCAAGAGTAATTTCAGATGTAGCGGTGTTCTGCCATTGTTCTTTAAAACCGCTGAGGCCTACCGCATTGACGAGTTTTCTGTCTTGTTTGATGAGTTGTCTGCAAGATATCCCAGTGTTGCTAGATACCTACAGGAGCAAGTTCGTTTTGAAATGTGGTCTCGTGCTCATTTTGAAGGAAATCGATATAATATTATGACAACAAACATGTCTGAGTCAGTTAATGCAATGCTCAAAGATGTTCAAGATTACCCTGTCATTGCCCTATTTAATTTTATACAAGCGAAGATGTTAGAGTGGTTTAATAACAAGAGGGTAGAAGCTTCTAAAACTAAAACATTATTAATGCCAAGTGTGGAAAAAACTCTTCGTGAGAGGCATAACAAAGCGGGATTTCTAACAACCACAAGACTTAATACTGTTGAGTTCCAAGTGACAGGTGGAGAGGCCAATGCAATTGTCAACATTGGAGCGAGGAGTTGCACTTGTCGTGTGTTCGACCTTAAGTAGATACCATGCGAGCATGCAATATCATGAAGAGAAGCAGGTCTGTCACTCTATGATTTATGCTCAAAATACTACAGGACAGAAGTTTGGGCTCTTGCGTATGCTGAGACAATCTATCCTGTGCCGGATACTTCGTAATGGGATATTCTGAATCACGTAAAGGAAGTTCGCCTCTTTTCCACCGCGAGTTGTACCAAAGAAGGGTAGGCCAAAGCAAAAACACATTCCCAGCATAGGTGAGTTCACACGAAGATAGAATCGATGTGCTAGGTGTGGGCAATATGGACACTATCAGAAGAAATGTAAGAACGCACCGATGTAAACATGACTTATAAATTTTGGTGTTAAATTTTGGTGTTACAATATATTTACACTTATTATATTCAACGGGTCGTAAAATGTATTCAGCAGGTTATTATGGCTTTGGGGAAGCTTATATTTATGGG